ATTCGGAATCGACTTTCCCATCGACCACATCAACCAAAGACACCGATCTCAGTCTGCGTGAAAGCAGTATCAACCAGAGTCATTCAGAGAATCTAAAATTCGAAAAGGTTGATTTTTCTGCAGGGCGCACGGTACCAGAAGTGAAGTGCGAAGATTGCTGTTCACCTAGGCCCCGGGCTTCTCCCAGGACTTCCTTCTCGGAGGAAGAATTTCGACGAGTGCCTGGTGCACTGCCGGATGACCAGATGTCTATTGCAAGCTATGCTGGTACATCCAAGACCACGGACTCCAACCCCAATCTCAGCAGCATGAGCATAGAATTCCGTCGTCGGTCCAAGGCGTCCCGGGAGCGTGAACTTTCCCCTATGCCACCTCAGTCCACTTTAGCCCTTACCGGCCCCTCGGACAAGGAAAACGCGGCTTCCCTGATTCAGAAGACCTGCACGGTGGTCCTTATTCCTCCGATCCAATTGTTTATCGTCCTCATCCATATAGCAGCTCGAATCGTATTAGGCCCAGCTTTGACATCGGCTGTGGGGGAGTTGAATCACAAGTATGAGTACCAAGTGGCAGACCCTCAGGAAGCTGTGGATGACTTTGATCTTCCACTTGCACCTGACTGTCCCAGGAAACAGTCGGTATCCGAAGCCAACTCTTGGGAGTTGGATTAAATGTTCTGCCAAGGCAGGTTGTGTAACTTGGCTGCCGGTGTCTCGGACGTATATCTCCTCTTTGCCTTCCAGTCTTTTGTTTTTTATTCTATTGGCTTCAATCTCTCGCCTCACACAATTCTTGCCACGCACTCTCTGTACTCGGTATGACGTCCCTGTTTCTATGATGATGATTTGTGCACTGTTTTACTATATGTGTCGTTTTTGGGTTACTGTACGGTTTGTTGGCGGATGGGTTTTTGCTTTGACTATTTATTGTTTAATGTCCCCTTTGTAATTTAGCATATCTCAGTTATAGTCATAGCTAATATACCCTGCTATTATTCATTTCAAGGAGATAAGATTGAATCGTTCAAACCTCCATTCGGTCCAGGTCCTCGGCTCACCAACCGGTCTAGGTATATGTATATCTAACATATCAACATGAAACGAACAAGCAAAAGAAAATAGAAACGCAAAGTAAAATAACCAGACAACGCCATCAATGCAAAGAACAAACAGGACCAATCTCAGAAACATTGCCCGTCACAATCCGTACTTCTAGGCCCCACTGCACACAGAGCAAGTCTCTTCCCTCCACAGGTCATCAAATCATGCCCCATCAAAGTGCCGACCCGTATGCTTAAGCCTTAGCAGCCTTCGCGCCGCCCTTCGCCTTGGCCTTGCCCTTCTTACGATCTCTCTTCTTCAATCCCGTCATCCCCGCCTTGCAGACCTCCGCATAGCGGGTGTAAAAGGCCTCGAGGTCCTCCGGCGCCACTATCGTCGACAGCTTCACTTTCGAGACGGTCTTCTTCTCGACCTTGTTGTTCTTCGGATTGGGGGCGTTGGTGTTACCGTCTGTTGCCCGGATGAGGATAGATGGCCGCGACGAGGAGGCATTCTCTGACGATGCGGTGGTGTCAATGAGAGGCTTCTGGGTGAGGAAGACGGAGCCTCGTGCTTTCTGGGAGGTCTTGGATAGGAGGTCGGAGAGGGAGGAGAAGAACTGTTCATCGTTAGTACAAACCCATACCTGTATCGAAAGCTCTCATGTAACTGGGATAGTTCACAATGATGTACATACCTCCTCGTGGCCGAGATGTGGTGCCATTGTAGATTTGCGACGAAACGATATGAAATTCGCTTGTGTGCGATGTATCCGGGATAGGATGTCCTATACCGTGGCGTAGATACCTTCAACAACTAACAAGACACGGCACCGGGCTGATTCTAAGCTAATTGAAAGATCAACAATTCTCAAAGACCCCTCTGTGCTGCAGTTTCGAACTGGACACTAGACACCATCTTGACATCGGGGCGGGTCGAGCCAACCCTCCGCAGTTGAGGGCGACTCACCGCCTTGGCTTTCATCGCTCTCCGCCTCCACTCCGCCCGCTTTTCTTCCCGGCATTAAAAAAAAAGTTTCGTTGCGCAAGAGCTTCGAGCAATACAACTCTGCGGAGGGAGGATAATTGGCCCACCATGCCGCGCCCGATGCATAATACGACTTCGCTGCCGCGGAACCTGCGCGACGAGTTGGGAATCAAGGATTCCTACGGCGAAAAGAAGAGAAGGCAGAACGGACCTGCGACTCGGAAAGATCGTCGGCGGGAGGAACGAGACCAGAAGAAGACGAAACGAGCGCCGGTTTCCAAACACGGCGGGAGACAACAGTCGAGCCGTCGTGGCGATGATGATGACGATGACAACGACTTTGAGGGGTTTGGGGATGGCTCTGGAGCCGAGTCGGACGCAGCCGGCGAGGAAGATGTGTTTGCCAAGTTAAAGGCTGCAAAGCAGGCGAAACAACAACCGAAACCGATTCTCAAGAAGAAGGCTGCAAAGCCCGAGCCCGAAAGTGGTGGCGAGGAGGAAGAGACAATACGTCCGCGTCAAATATCCAAAACGGTCCAAGACAAGCTCGATGAAGACGAAGCCGAGATTGCTGCGCTAGAGAAAAAGCTTGGACTTAAGAAAGGGAAAAAGCTTCCGAAGTCCTTTGACGAGGATGGTCTAGGCGATTTGCTAGGCGACTTGGATGAGGGGTCGGCAGATGAAGGTCGCAAGCGTAAAAGGGAAGCTGACGAATGGCTACGGAATAAAAGGAGGAAAGCTCAGGGCTTGGAGTCTGAGAGTGACTCTGAAGAAGATGGGAGTGGCTTGGGGAGCGAGAAAGACATGGATGATATGGATGATATGGATGACCTTGACGAAGATGAAGACATGTTCGACGATCTGGATGAAGAAGATGACGAGGAAGCCGAAGAAAGCGAAGATGAGAAGCCCGTCCCGAAGAAACGAGAAAACCCATATGTGGCTCCTGTTGCAGAAACAAACGAGAATCGTCCACAGAAGTATATTCCTCCATCGTTGCGTGCTGCATCCGGATCTGAGTCGGAGTCTCTTGTTCGACTAAGGAGACAGGCCCAAGGACACCTGAATAAATTGTCCGATGCCAACCTGGTCTCCATTCTGGCGGAGTATGAAAAGCTGTACCGGGAGTACCCACGAAAAGAAGTAACGACTACACTGATAAATATGCTTTTCGGCCTCATTTGCGAACGGTCCGCTCTTCAAGATACGTTCCTGATTCTCCATGCAGGGTTCATCGCTGCTGTATACAAAGTTATTGGAACGGATTTTGGCGCCGAACTCGTGCAAAAAATAGTTGAAACATTCGATGCCCGTGGCGATGAGCGCGGCAGCTTCGAAGGGAAGGAGTCCATCAACCTTATGTCTCTTCTCGCGCAACTTTACAACTTTCATGTCATCTCCAGTACCTTGATCTTCGATTACATTCGGCTCTTTTTGCAAGACATCAACGAGGAAAATACGGAACTACTTCTCAAGATCATCAGGAGTAAGAATCACCTCATACCTGCTTGGATATAGCAAACTAACAGCGATAGATTCCGGTCCACAACTCAGACAAGACGACCCATCGTCTCTGAAAGACATCGTTCTTCTTATCCAGCCGGCAGTAGCCAAGGCCGGCGAAGCATCTCTCTCCGTCCGCACGAGGTTCATGATCGACACCATCACCGACCTTAAAAACAACAAGCTTAAGGCTGGAGTCGGCTCCAGTGTAACCACCGAGCACATCACGAAAATGCGCAAGATCCTAGGTTCTCTGAACAACTCCCGGGTCATCCGTGCCACCGAACCCATCAGCATCTCGCGAGATGACATCCATAACTCCTCGAAGAAAGGAAAATGGTGGCTTGTCGGCGCAAGCTGGAGAGAAGACCCGCTAGTCTCCGCCCGCCAGGAACTCTCCAACCTCCCAGCGGACCAGCAGAATGCTGCCGCCGCAGAAGAAGAAGATAGCGATGGAGAACCAGACTTCGTCAACCTCGCAAAAGCCCACCGAATGAACACCGACGTCCGACGCTCCATCTTCGTCGCCATCATGTCTGCAACAGACTACCAAGATGCGCACGTCCGACTCCTCAAACTCCGCCTCAAGAAAGCACAAGAATACGAAATCCCGCGCGTGCTAACCCACTGCTCCATGGAAGAGGAGGCCTACAACCCATACTACACATTAATCGCGCGTCGCCTGTGCGGCGAATCAGGCCGCCGCCTCAAAGTCTCCTTCATGTTCACTCTCTGGAACATCTTCAAACGAATGGGTGAAACAGGCGACATGGACGAAGAAGACGACGCCGACTTCGACGAGGACGAGCAGAACCAACTCCCCATGAAAGCCATCGTCAACCTCGCAAAGATGTACGGGAGTCTCATCGTCGACAACACCCTCAACCTGGGCATCCTGAAGACCCTCAACTTCGCTTACCTGCAGCCCAAATCCAAAACTTTCGTCGAGCTCCTCCTCATCAGCGTCATCCAGCAATCCCAGAAGCAGAAACGCGGCAAGAAGCACACCAAGAAATCCGACGATGACAAGGATGAGAAGGCCCTGATGGAGATTTTCATCCATACCCGTGAAACGCCCCAGATTGTTAAGGGCCTGATCTTCTTCCTGCGCAAGGTCGTGTCCAAGTCGGACGTGGTTTCCGGGAAGGAACAGAAGTTGGTCAAGTGGGGTTGTAACGTTGCGGTTGATGCTTTGAAGGTTGTTTCGAAGGAGACGGCTGGGTTTGATTGATTTGATCCATGACTGTTGTGGTTGTTTTTGGCGTCCGGTTCTCTTTACTATGGGGTTGGATAAAAGCATTGCGTTAGACTTTGTGCTTTGGTTCTTTGTATATATGTCATCTAACGGAATGTATAGACCTCTCTCACGGGGGAGGAAATCGGTCACATATAACTATATAAAGTCCTGGGTATCATGCGTAGTATATACGATCGTAAAAAATATCAGGGCATAGCCACGGCAGCCATCTATCAATCTGCAGATATCAGATCCCACTCCATACACACCAGCCACCTAGTCGTGGTCCCGGATTGCCCGTGTCCGTCGCTATTAGGATCACTTGGTAACCCGGATCCAGACAGCCGATCCTCTAAATCTAACTCCCAGACCAATCCCCGATAAACACCCACCAGATTCCCCCCAACAAGTCCAGGAACACGAGGAGCATCTGGATACTGCGACGACAGCCCAGCCGGCTGGGAGCGTGGGGCCCCTAAAAGAAGAATACTTTTCATCTCACTGCCCTCACGAGGACCAGAGGCGACGTCTTCTTCCTCATCCAGTGACGTCACAGGTTGGCCTCGCACGAAAGCAAGCGGCCCGGAACTAGCGAGGGCAGACTGACGGACCTCCGCGATACGAACGACGAGGAGATACCTCTGCAGATCAGGTCCGGCGCCGGAGCGGTTTCGGTGGTTCATCTGCATCTGGTCTCGCCTGGTGCTCATTTCTAATATCCAGCTGCGCACTTCGGCCGCCATGCCGCCGGGCAGATAACTAGGGGCCGCGGAGCGGTGACGGCCACGGCGACGGAGCGTGTGAGATGAAGGGGAAAATGGGGTAGGGATGGCGGAGGGGTCTTCAGCGGCCTGAGACGGGGATGGCGAGCGCGGTAGAACGAACGCCGGTTTCCGTTTCGGGGAGGTTGGTGCCGGTGTAGCGAATGGGGGTGGTCGAGCGCTTGACTGGGGCTGGGTACTTGAGAATACCTGGGAGGATGATGGCATGAAGCGAGGGTTGTTGCGGAGGGTGGGTTTGATGGTTGCTGGTGTTGGATGTTGGGGAGTAGTAGTGTTTCGTTGAGGGATTATGTCGGCATATGTCTGGGTCGGAGTTTGGATTTGTTGTTGAGTTTGGCCCCCCGTAGGCAATTCTGCTTCTGGGGAAGACGTCTGAATTGTATCATCTTCGTGTTTCCTTCGCTGGGTGAAGGGTGTTTCTGGGTCAAGCGATGCGCGTCTTCGCTTTGTTCGTGTCGTCGTCGGTCCGAACAGAGCTTCGAATTCGGCCTCGAGCTCGCCTGCGTCGCCTTGTGGACTACATTTCAGATCTGGGCTCCCGGTGATATCATCTGGCAAAGTCCGGTGGGCTCCTCCGTTGTAATCTAGTTCGTCATCGGAGTCTTCAATTATCTCTTTCTGGCGCTGGGTTGGTCTGATATCTTGGTCTCTTTTGGTGGCCCGTCTATCTGCGACAGGGGTGGATTGAGGAGATTCATCGCCATCAATGAGGTCATCTTGGCCATATACCTGCGCGGTTGAGCGAGGGGTCTGTTGGGAGAGGACGAAACGGGGTGTTGACGCGAACTGGGGGCCAGCGTTGGGGCGAGCGGCGGAATTGGGACGACGAGAAGAGGGGACGCGAAAAGGTGTCTGCGATAAGACAGTTAGATGGATGCTGTTGTTGGGGGAGAGCTTTCTGTTGACTTCTACTTACGTTAGAAGGGGGCATTGAGGCGAATAGAGGGCGGGGCAAGGTTCAGTTGCGACATTTCTCAAGTGAACCCGCGGGGTTGAGATGGGAAATTGATGATGAATGACGGCGATGATGATCGATGGGATCTTATCTTCAGGTGACTTACCACTTATCTCCTTAATCCCCGTCAGGCAGCGATTGACACCTAAGGCACAACGGCATATCGCTAGAGCATTTGCTATATGACCCGTCACTCATGCTTCCCACCAAAGACCCGGATGAGTCCGGTGATCTGGGCGAAAATCACTGAGCACTATATAATGACATCACAGATGCAATTCCTTCTGCATATATGATGTATATGCATGCAGCATATGTTGTACAAGGTGCCTGCTACCGGATTCCTACTCCTGAACGATGTAGAACTAAGCTCTCGGCCATAGAATTCCATAAGGAACAGTACCTGCAAGGTCTACAGGACACGAGCACCCGAGATATCCGGATTTTGACAAGTTGACGTGTATGGCCATCCATGGACAGACATGGAAAGGAACGAAAAGCCACCAATCAATTCTGCTCGTTCCGAATCCCGCTGTAGGGCCTGACACCAACAGCGCATTGCATAATGCACTCTCCGCAAGAGGGCCCTGTGCTGTGTGCGCGGCCCATGGACCCCAGGATTATGAACAGTAAGTATAGGTCCATTCCTTCGGCGGAGAAGGCAAACAACAGGCAGCGAAAACTATTTGTCAATAAGTTGACCAATGCATTGAAACCATTTGCCAGACTGATAGTCGTCCAGCCAAGCGTCGGAGGGGTATCAACTCTAAAGATTCTCGGCGTTTGGCCATTCCCTAGCCCTGCGTATAACGACCGTTAATATAATGGTTTTGTGGGGAGCCCTTGCAGTCCTGAGAACATGGGTTACTATTCACTATAATGGATTAGGGTTACATCATAACATAAGCGAAAAGGACCTGTGCTATGCATTCATGGAAGAAATCAAGGATTGCCCGTATATCCATGCTAGAACACATGGAAGTATGCAATTGCTGATCCCTTCCCATTTTCCACTGTGCGAATACCCGACGGAGTGTCTGATCCTCATGATCAGCGTTATCTTTGACCCGAAAGATTGGCTGACAACGCATGAGATACTCAAATCACTCGTTCTCTGGACAGACCGATTGGCCGGTCAAATCCTTCAGCCGAGACTCGAGTGGACCGTGCTCAGCCTGGAAACCGTGTGAAACAGAAGGAATCATGCCATATCAATTGCATACTGCTAGGTGATAAGGAATGGCGAATAATTGATAATATAGGCGCGGGGATTTGAATATGGATAAAGTACAATACAATGCAATAAACCCTTGCATTATAATACCGCACCATCCAGGATCGAGACAAAGAAAGGTATGCAGCAAATTAACAAAGAGTCAGCCCTGGGCTAACCCCATTCCCACGCCATTTTAGTCAGAATGCAGCGGAGATCCACTTCGAATCCCAGAGGACGGGATTGAGACCTCGAACTAGCAAACGGACCGTTGCTGTAGCCAGCCCAGAGCCGAGGGTGAGAATGGGGCCGCCTTTACCAGGCCTGAGCGCTAGCCTAGTAGCGAAGGCACCATGGGGCCACTGAATGTATCTGAATGGACGACTTGTAGACGCTAGGAAGCACCGCTGGGACGCCAGCGTGCAAATCCCGGTAACGGTTGTTCCGTCCCCAGCGAGCTCTATTATGAGAGTTGAAGGGGCCGCCTTTTCGTCAAACGGCCTCGAAATGGGGTCTGTCACCGGGGCATTTGACAGGTGGGGCTCGTTGAAGAAGCCGGTTTAACTGTTTGACGTGGTCAGTTGTCGGCCAGTCCTAGAAACGCTACTGATGTACTCTAAGGTTTAGCTCGCGGGAGTTCTCCGTGCTGCTGGGTCGTGGTTTATATCTGGTGTGGTGCAGTATGGCCAGGGGGCACTGGGAGATTGTGGAAGAGGAATATCTATTGATCAATAATCGATTCATTGATTGATTGCTTGATTGTGTCCTACCAAATGTTCTGAATATCAAAATGACCACCACTACTACCCAGTGCCTAACCCTCTCCAGATCAACCATCCAGCCTCTTAAAAGTGACCATGTAAACCCAAGAAGTGTCCATGAGTCCATTCGCCAAGTTTTGCATCATGAGTTTCTCATCACAGAGCGATTACTCCGCGCCAACATCCGTGAAGGCCTAGTCTTGCCCATCGTCGGCCTCATCGCTCGATTCCTGCCTGCTCCAGACCTCCTCCTCACGACCCCCTGGACCCAGCTGGCCCTGGTGCTCCTCAAGACCTTCGTTTGCTTCGTCTGCCACCTGTACGTGTTCGAGATCGTGAACCAAGTCCTCTCCATCGACGAAGACATCGTCAACAAGCCGCACCGACCGATCCCGGCCGGCTTGCTCTGCATCCCCGGTGCCTATAGACGCTGGCTCCTGAGTTGGGCCATCTGCCCCGTCATTGCCAGCCACCTCGCGGGTCCGGAAGCCGCCGGCCTTTTCGGAATATATCAAGCGTGGGTGTATTTTTGCTACGTCTGGCCGAAGCCCAACCACTGGGTCTTCCGGAACGCGTTTGCGTCCATCGGCGCGTACAACATGTTCCGGCTCGTGGACACCATCGTGCACGGCGAGGTCCCGTCGTTCCCGGTCATGCCGAAGAAGGTCCTCCTCTGCTTCTCTGCGTGGGTGGTGACCACAGTACATGTGCAGGAGTTCCATGATGCCGAGGGTGACCGACGGATGAAGCGACGGACGCTTCCCGTCGTCGTTGGACCCCAGGGAGAAGGGCTCCTCCGAGCAGCCACCGCAATGCTTGTCATCGGGTCGGGCGCCGTGCTCCTCGTCGCCACGTCTTCGTACACCCAGGGCTCTTCCCTCCCTCATCAACGTTGGGCGGTAGCGGGACTCGCCGTAACAGGCATCCTGCACAACATCTTCGCATGCATCGTTGGATTCCGGTGCGTCTGGCACGGCGGCGTTGCCTTCGATCGCAAAACGTATAAATGGTTTTACATGTTGGCGGCGTATACCATGATCTGTTATTTGTCGTTCTGGCAGATGACGATGCAGGATATCTAGGTAAGGGTTCGGTTTGAGTATGTCGATAGCGGTAGTTTCACGAGCTCCCTTGGAAAATCTCACACTCGATCAGTTGCGGCAGCATGAGCCGAAACAAAGATCGGCCGCTATATTCGTTAGCCAGGGCTAGCGATCTAGATACCGTAGAGATGACTTACGATTGAAATGCGTGTTTGTTTGTCTGTTTTTGTGCTTTTGTACGTGACGCGGTCTTGCGTTTGCTTTCCTGACATCTGTCAGCAGTGTATTTAAAGATAGAGGAGAAATAGTTTGGTTAGCTTACTCGATCAATGTCATTTCCGAGGCTGAGTCTTGCAGAACATCCAGTGGCTGCTTGCTTACTGCGGACTTGTTGCGCTTGAGAAGGTCGATTAGGAAGTCAGGCATCTTGACCACAAGTATGTCCAGTTCAATTGTATGTACAGGTTGATTTTGTGTGTGTGTGTGTGTGTGTGTGTGTGGGTGGTTGTGACTATGGCTATTATCTGCTATCTACAATACCTCCGTCAGGGAGCCCATTCTTATAGACCTGGTGCCATACGATAAAAAAAACTCCCGATGCCGATGGCCGAGCCCACGGTTGCCGACTTCGTACCATGGTACACCCTGAGGCAGGGACAATTGGCCGAAGAATATCAGTTCCCCGATGATTGAATGACTTCTTGCACGTGCTGAGGGAGCACGAATGTCTGCCCAAGTCCCACCCAGTGCATGGCGTCCAGTCGCGTTAAGCCAAGCTTCATCATGGGGAAGCTTTGGCTTTGGCAGCGGAGCACGCGCAGCCAGGAGTCAACCAGCTGTTTACCCTTGGCGGCTCGCTCGGCATTAGGCGCTTGGACTAAGAGGAGAAGGGCGAAGTTGGAGACGGTTGCGAAGCCGATGCGAGACCCTACACAGACCCCCGTTGGTCAGTATCTCTGTCTACGGATGGTTGGGTAACACAGGTGCGACTTACATGAATACCAAAATCCGGTAAAGTCACTCGACGTCAGCCGCCGCGTGAAGCTGATGACTATCGAAGCGCAGCGCTCCGCCGAGTTGAGGGTCGTCTCGCCCGTGCTGTGGTCGGACAGCTCCACTGCAGGGAAGGACTCGATCTCGGGCATATTGAGAAAGTCCAGAACGGGTGAGTCATCGACCGCTGTATCCAATGCGGAGGGGTTCGTGGGGATCTCGTCCAGGTCGAAAATTAACGGCGGACTGGACGAGCGAGCCATCGGCCGAAGGAGCGCGCGGTAGACAAACAGGACCAGGATCAGATAGGCGAAGTGGATCGAGGTGGGATATGGCGCAAGTCCGCTGACAGACTTGCTCCAGTTGGGAAGTCGGAAGCTTTCCGGCAGCGAGGAGTACCAGTCATTCAGCTTCTCCAACAAGGGCCGGCCAGTGTCGTGTGAAACACGAAAGCGTTCCGATAGGTATTGTGATTTGCGGAGGGTGCTGGTTCACGGTCAGTAGGCGCTAAGCTAAACGCCATCCTGGGAGACGTACTAGAATGATTCATAGATCTGTTCTGCAATGCCAGACAGGTCCACCAAGTAGCGGAAAGGGACCGGGTCTTGCGGCTGGTGGACCCCTGAGGACGACGACGAAGCACCCCTGGTGTGGTAGAGGAAGTCCGCACCGTCCAGCTCACTGACGTCCCATTCGCTCCGATGAATATACGGCGGTCGACCCATCAGCAAGCTGCGCCATTTGTCCTCGGCATAGATGGCCCACCACAGCCGGCGCCGCAGACGTTTCTCCCATGCGGGTATCCCCCACATGCGACACTCGATGTGCAGTCCCAGTGACTCCGCGAGGCCCACCACGGTGCCGACGAATGACCAGACAAACGGGGTGTCAGCGATGCTCGCCCGGGCCTCGTCCAGTGGCCGATGCAGGTACAACAAGGCCGTCTGCAGCACGGCCAGGTGTGGCGTGTGGATCTCCTCGGAAATTAACTCATAGGCCATCCGCCAGAGCCTGTCCGCCGGGGGAGCGTTATATGTTTGCAGCACGCACAGGTAATCGTCATGGGCGGCAAACGGTAGGGCAGATGCATATACCGCTGCCAACAAATGCACCGGCGTGCGCTCTAGAGCCCATGGCTCGGGGATCGAACACGACGGGGTCAGCCCCATCTGAGAGCGGGAGATGAGCGGCAAGGCGGGCCAAACATATTTGATGAACCTACCCCCAGTTAGCAGATGACCACGAAGCTCAGGGCACCAAGAACCTACAGAGACACCAGTCGTTGTCCATAATCGGGTGGAACCAAGCGATTGAGTTCTTCCCGGGTCGCGTCGCCGCTGAAACGACAGGAGGTCTCCTGCTTGGCCGACGCAGCCAAGTCATCTGCGGCAAGCATGAAATGAACCGGAATTTTCTCCGCCGTCGGAACACCACCTGCATTACGAAAGTGGACCTTGTAGAAGCACTTCACACCGGCATCATCAAAGGAGCAATGCCGAAGGAGCCACGGGTCCGACTCGGCAGACGCCCCAAACAAATGGGCCGAAAAGCCTTCGAGCTGGTCCAGGCTTTGCACAAACTGCGTGGGAGATCGTCCAACGGTGACCAGGTGGCCCGACACCGCAGGGGAGACTGCCCCATTCGTAGGCACATCCTCTAGCGGAGCAAAGGCTGGCTGGTGGACCGCAGGGTTGACAGAAGCACCGCGGGAGGGAAGATGCGACGCCGGATGGTTGGGCGGCTCATCCCATGACGGTGGCAAGAAGGAGGATTCCGGATCAATGGATGATGCTACAGAGTCCGCAGGATCTCCCAGGTGACCCGATGATTCACGTCGAGGCCGCTTGGGGGGTGGATGCTCGAAGGTACATGGCAGATCGGCCGAACGACAGCGAACACATGGCAGACCGCCGTCCGTCTGGCATCCAAGCTTCCTTTCACGGCATTGATCGCAAGGGCGGTGCCTTTTGGAGCGATAGGGACGGGCAGACATGATTTTTGCGCCTATGAGACTGATCCATCGTAAATCTTAATCGAAGGTGGCCGACGACGAGGATATGCCTGCAGTCCACAGGGTCTGATCGCCGACGTTTGCCGACGTGGCGGGGGATTCCTTGCTGATTCAGCCTCGGCCGTCGGCCATCGGCCTTTGCTTTTTTTTTTTTTTCTTTTCTTTTTTTTTTCCTTGGGCGTGTGATATATCTATCGTATTGGGCGTTCAAACATCTTGAAAATATTTTATTGAGTAATTAAAATGAGATGAGCCGAGGCTGTTTGGGACCCACATAAGCTATGTCTGCATCCTGTGTTATTGTGGTCGTCCGTTAGCCCTAATTCCATGAATGCCTTAATGCTGCCCAGAAGTGCCATTCAACCAGGGCTAGATCAATTAGAACCTTGTATACAATACTGATATCAGTTATATTATAGTTGAAATGAGCTTGGGACATTGCAGCAAGTAATCTACATCTTCCGATGACTTCCTACACTCAGCACCGTATTACTATATAACAGCGGATAGGGCACCACTTGAATAAATATATATTGTGAAGGGTGGCAGGAATACGAAAATATGATTCATAAGGATGATTCGATGAGCTGTAAATGGCGCCCCAAGAGATTCCATATACAAGCAGGCATTCCTCACCCACCATGGCAACCCTTATATATTAGTACTCGATCCAATCTACTTCTCCGGTTTAGTCTGGTAGCTTTGTTAGCACGGTGGGTCAATGGGATGAGGATTCGATAAGCATCGGCACGACCCGTGGGCAGCCATGTGTCGGGCTTTAGTCGTAGAAATTAAATTATAGGTAGTTAGAGGTCCAGCAAACCTACTGCAGGGGCTTAGTAGTATGTACGGAGTAAAGGCCAGAAGAAGGGTTCCAACCCAATGTGTTGCTTCCACCGCGGGGCGAACTGGTTTGTGCATCGATGACCACCCCCTTTCGAGGCCAGTGACGGTTGGGATGTGGGCTGCAATACTGCCGCGTACTCTAGTTTCAAATTTCAGCCAGTCTATTCCCTATATGAGGGAATTTTGATAGGTCCAAGCTGCGTACTATTGCTGGGTGACACCCCTTGAGTTTGAGATAGTACTCCATTCATGCCTCTAATCCCCACCCCGCGCACGCTACCTCTCAGTGAAAAGAGACCATTCCAGGCTGCGCCTGTTGTCAGTCTCCATCAGACTCGATGGTGTCTCAGGGTCTGGAATTTCGGATTCTAATAGTTCAGTCAGGCATTCCGGCGTATTATCACCATTCAGCTCTCTCCTCAACTGCATGACACCGTGTTCGACCGAAGCCGGTACAGACTGCTGGCATTGCAGAACAATGTCCACCTCCACCAGACGGCGACGATCGACATGCCAATCGACCCTGCGAAAGAAAAAGAAGTGCAGTACTTTTCCTTCCAGCCCGAAAATGGCTCAGTCTCGAAATTGAGCACCCCAATCAGGGCTACCAGGCCATGGCCGGCAGCCAATGATTCCGCCAGCTTCAGGTCAAATAGGGTCAACTGGGACGCCGTCAGCTCGCCCAAGTATCCCACTAAAGGCGCGGCCAGTCCCATTAGACTTGACTCGCACACCCTTGGACCGTTCGCCAAGGGTGTCCGGCCGAACGACGATGGGCTGGTATCTCAGCTAGTCGTAGCAGTTCTCAATGAAGGGGTGCAGATATGTGCCGAGCTAGGCGAGGAACTAGACAAGACAAGAATCCCGGGATCAGGCCCACGGCCGGATAGGGAGTCAAAGTCTACAAGGATTGGGATCTGAGAAGCCTATTAAGCCAGGCTCGGGGCCTATAATCAGGCGATCAAGCAAGAAATGGCAGTCCAGAAGAATTTGAGTGGATCGGTCCTCGAGCTGGAATCCCTCAAGGCACAGGAATCGACCCTGGAGCACAGGGCAATAAGTCCGTCGTTTACAAATGTTACGCACGGGCTGTGAGACCGACCCCCTCAGGCTTTATTGTCACCTTGAATACTAATCTTCAGATCATTTCAAAATTTGCCTTGAGAATCTTGGCTCACTCCTCGCTCTTCCCGGGATATCGTGATCCTGTGGCTGCCTGAACACGGCCTATATTCAACGCTTAGTTAGCTGATATACAATAGGCAACACTCGCCGAACTAAATCTACGCCTAATTGAAAGTCCAGCTGAATTCATAACCGTACATTCATCCCGCTATGCTATGTCTATACTCATGCTAATTTAGCGTCTCGCGGCGACCTTCTATCAGATCAGCCTCTCAATACATCATACATCAATCACAGAACCAAGAAAAGAGCAAATGCTTACGCGAAATACTCATTGAACTTCTCCCGCGTCTCCTGCTGGCAATCAAAGCCATAGATAATCTTCTGCACATCCGCATCGGCCCACTTATCCGGAACGGGTCCGTTGCCCTTCTTCAACGCAGCGAACTGCTTGTCTCGTTCCTCCTTGGCAGCGCCGTCCCCCAAATGAAGAGCCCGACCCGATGCAGCTGCCAGCTCGACCAGCGCATACGCCCGGTCCTTCCGAACCTTCTCGTACACCTTCAGCGCCTTCGCGATCGAGGCGGGGGTCGTATCGGGTAGCAGGGATAATGCGATGGCAATCACGGCACCGTCTTCAATGGCTTGCGCGGCTCCCTGCGCAAGATGGGGCAATGTCGGGTGGCAAGCATCACCGACCAGAGCGGTGGACTCATGCACCCACGTATCCAAGGGCTCGTGGACCCGCAGCTTCCATTCGCAGACCTCGCCCTCGGGGACGTAGCTCAGCATGCGCTGCACCATGGGGCAGAAATCGCCGAAGACCTCCAACATGGTCTTCTTCGATCCGCGCGTCGTGTAGGTGGCGTTGGTGGCGGCGGCGAAGTTGGTGTCGGGCTGGACGGTGGAAAGGTTGTAGATGGTGTTGTTGGACACGGGGTAGGCGATGATGTGACGCTTCTCGCCGATCCAGCGCGTCACCTTGGTGCCGTTGATCAGCTCCAGGAGCTCCGGGTCGTCCTTGATCTGGTCCTTGTGGATCATGATTCGGTAGGCCGCTTGGTTCGTATCCTTCACGCCGGTCTGGATGCTGAGCTTGTCCATCATGGCGACCCGCGTGTTGCTCTTGATGCCGTCGGCGCCCAGCAGCACGTCGGCCTCGACGCGGTACGGCGCTTGGCTGGAGTCGCGCGGCGTCGCTGTGAAGGAGGGCCGGGGACCGAACGAGTCGACGTCCCCGGTAGACGTGGAGAAATGGAACTTGATGTTCGGGTAGCGCAGACAGCCTTGGTACAGTCCGTTGGACAGCGATGAACGGTGGCCCACCATGTGCGGGTATCCATATGTGTCTTTGATATATTGCAGCGGAACATGCGCCAACTCAGAATCGGTTGCACCCACTAGGACCGAATGTCAGCAGGTTAGACATTCACTGGGAGAGAGACACCGGGAACTATGCTGGATACCGTACCTCTGACGCTGGTCTCTTCGATATTTACGGCCTCGGCTTCAATTCCCTTCCATACTCCCAGGCGGTCCAGCACTCGGGCCATGTTCGGCGCCAGTTGGATACCCGCTCCAACGAAGCCCAGGTCCGAGGCCGATTCATAGACATCAATATTCTTGAAGCCTTCCTGGGCTAGGGCCAGGGCACATGTGAGCCCTCCCATACCTAAGACATTCGCCGACGTTAGCGATTTCAACTCATTACTCTTGATCCAGGTGCCGGGGGGGAGGAAAACAAGTGTTCACGCACCAGCGCCCAGGATGGCGATCTGAAGATCCTGCGGTGACTTAGCCATTGTGAGATACTGGTGTGAATGTGTTGACTGTTCGTCTTTGGTCTCGATGCGATGTCGTCGTTCAGCTGTAGATTTATTTAAATGACGGGCACGGTCCTCGGCCATAAGGCGGGAAAAGATTTATCCCGGATTCCCACGGTTCCCCACAAATCCCACAACGGTGACGAGGTCGAGCACTGCGTTTGAATTGGCATTTGGCTCCTTGGCCATGGTTCCAGGTTGATCTGGGGAAGGAAAAAGTCTCGTCGCCTCTCCACGTCGGCAGTTTTTCCCCGTGGGGCGAATCAATTTACATCCGACGGCGCACTCCAACCGTCGATCGTCTTCGGACAACAACTTGGCAGGGATTTCGGGCTTAGATGCTTATTCCGATGGGATTATAATTCTTTATTTAATACTGTACAGTGATTTATACATAGACATGGATCCACCAGACTGCTGACCAAGTCCCGTTTCGGCCAAACCCCTGTTTCTTTCATGGCGGTTGCGCCGCATGGCAGTGTTTCGGACGTCGACGAGAGTATGTTCTGCGAGATATTGCTGAGTATACCCGTCAGAGGTGATAGGAGGAATCGAAAGACATACTACAAAGCCTCGCCAAGGGTCTGCACCACCTGGCCAACGGGAATACCAACACCGGGCAGTCCGAGCCCGATAAGGAGGCCTGCGACAGAAGGAGAAAGCTCAACAAGCAGAGCACCTCCGTCTTCGCCGATGATGGTCAGAATGCACTCCACAGGGTCACCCAAGTCGTAGACGAGATCGCCCACGGTCGCCGCGGACTGGATGACAGTGCCGACAGGCTCGGCAAGCTGACCGAGACCCAAGCCAGTGAGCAGGTTGGCGATGGGCCGGCTCAAGGCAATGAGAAGAATCTTGGAGTCCTCGCCAACCACCTTAAGAGCGCAGTTCACAACGGGAGCAAGGTCTTCGAGGAGTCCATCGCCACGCTTGAGGTGCTGGCCGACAGTGCCGACGATGCTGCCCACGGGCTGAGCGATGCTAGGAAGTCCGAGTCCAGTGAGGAGTCCGGTAATGGAGGGCTCGAGCTGAATCAACAGGAATCCACCGTCCTGTCCCACAACGGTCAACAGGCATTCGACGGGCTCACCCAAGTCCGCGATGAGTTCGCCAATGGTGGCAGCGCTCTTAATGATGTGACCGACGGGCTGGCCCAAGCCAGGGAGGCCGAGTCCGGTCAGAAGACCGGCAACACCGGGGCTGAGCTTGAGCAAGAGCTCCTCGGTGTGCTCACCAACAATGGTCAGAACATCGTTGAGTGGCGGGCCCAGGTCCTGGATGAGGTGTCCAGTTCCGTGGCAGCCATCGTCGTCACAACCGCCCTTGGAAGGCCCCTCAGGGTCTTCTGGGTCCTCTGGGTCTTCAGGATCCTCTGGGTCTTCAGGATCTTCGGGATCTTCAGGATCTTCGGGATCCTCTGGGTCTTCCGGGTTCTCTGGGTCTTCAGGATCGTTCGGGTTTCCAGGGACCGTAGGAACGCCAGGAACAGGCAACCCAGGAACGCTGGGAACGGGCAATTCGGGAATGCCGGGAACGGTTGGGACTCCACCAGGACCAGGAACCGGAACTGCAGGGGGAGCAGGAGATGGTATCTCAGGAGTGCTGCCATCGTGGTCTGAGTCACAGTCGCAACCCTCGGACGAAGCTCCAAGAAGGCCTCGGGCTTGGTGAGCGCTGCCCAAGGGGCTGGCGGCACTGCATGCCGCCAAAGCGATCGTAGCTAGGATGGAGGCTTTCATGGTGGAAGGAATGAAGTAGGTACAATCAAAAGGAGTGGCGGTTTGATAACTGTCAAGAGAAGAATCAAAGAAGAGCTAGAAAGCCCGATGAAGGAATGGATGCTTGCTGTTGAGTGACAGGGTAGCGCTACAAGACCATATTTATACAGCTTTCTCTTCCCCTGATCGCCTTACTGCCTTTTGCATCAGCATGGCCAGATGCATGGGTACCTGTCTGCCAAGCAGTGACTATTCAGAACTATCCAGCCCCGTCGGAAGTGGTGGAGCAGTGACAAGCCCATGGGCTTGACAACTATCAAGTGCCTCAAAGGAAAAGATTTAAGCCAACGGGCAGAAACGTAATAGCATGCTTTGACTGGTAAATACCATCTCGTACCGTACCTATCTAAGTTCTATTTACTCTCTAGATGCGTTTTCTATACCTCACTCGGCAATATTGACATATCAACCCTATGGCAATGACGGGATGGTATCTCTGGCGACAGATCTCGTAGAATTTTCTGTTGGGTATCTTGCCTTGTCGAGTGCCTCCAATCGTCTCCATCGTCAGGGGTGATTTATGTTTATTGTCTCAGACATGCATGCGTAAGTCCAATGTGGCTGGCGATGGTCAGGGATTAATTCTTGGTCGAGGCTCTCGATCCCGGTTATACAGACTCATGCTATAACCACCCCAGTGGCGAAAGGTATAGCGGATCCAAGAAATCCACGTTCATATTAAGTAAAAGCTCCATGATAAGCTTAAAGTCGGATTGAGCCGTTCGTCCGAATGGATGTGATCGCCGAGGTTAGGAGTGCTTTCGGGTTTGGACCTGCATCGAGTTCCATCAACTATTGAGCTTGGCGCAGTTGATCACCCGCATCGGATGTGATACATCACTGGGAGATGCGCCATTTGCCCCCAATTGGCTGGGAATTAATAGCCTGACAGCAGTGGATTCTATCGTCAAAGAGTAAAAATAGGGTAAGAGAAATACAGGGCAAGAAAAAAAAAAAGAATATACCGCAACGGTGCTTCCGACACAACTTTCAGGGTCGTCGCTATTGACAAATAGGTCCACGACTCGATCAAATCATCGCCTGCAGGTAGTGTAGCAGTTTCTGTAGCCAGCTTGACTGCCGGGGTCCTTCCGGGCCTTCTGGACCCCCAGGGCCTCCGGGCCCTCCATGCTCGCCCCAGTAGCGTCGTCCCTGGCCACTCGGCCGCGACGCATCTCGACACTGTGGGTGCTCGTAGTCCTCGACTGTTCCCATCGGCCAAATCGGAATCACGCAAATTTCGTTGTCAGCACACCCCTTACATTCCTTCCATGTGGTCCAGGACAAGTAGTCCATGAGGCTTCGAAGTTGGGCGACCGCTGCGTCGTAGTCGGTTTGCTTCCAGGCCTCGATCATCGCCGAACAGATACTGCGGGTAACGGATCGGACGGCATCGCTGGCTAGCCCATCTGAGGGAGCCCCTGCAGATACAAACTGCATGCTGCATCGGTCGACCTCCAGAGCGGCATTGCGATCGCCATAGTCGACAAATGGCCCGAGGCTGTTCTCGATTTCCTCGTGAAGTGCCCGCAGCGTTGATAGCTGACCAGAGACGAGGTACCTCAGCTCATGCGCATATCGTTGCACCACCATATCTGCCACCCCCTGCCAGTTAAATGAGGTGCCACTAGGATCATGGTTCATAATGAGATGGTCCAGATCGTTCCGCATCGGGCCCAGCTCATCGGCAAAGAGATGATGCAACCGGGGCAGTAAGTTGCTATTGCTTCCCGACGAACGAAACAAATCCAACCCATAGACATACGCCGTCACAAAATGGTCATAATTGAGGATGACCCTGTTGCTCCCGATTCCATTGTACCGTGCTGCGATGGCTTTGTACCAGAGCATTGCCCCATCAAGGGGGCCCTTCTTGTCCTTGCCACCACGCGGGCCAGGGCCCCGTTTATCAGCCTTCACCTGAGTGACCCGAATCTCATCGAGGTCTCGGGCGAAATCACAAAGAATTATCTCGAACCCGGCCTCCATTCGGATGACACCGTCCAGACGGCCTTGGTAGTTGTCCCGAGCCATGCGGCAGACAAGTTCCGCCCGTTCACCTTCCAGCATTCCGGGCCGACCCTCGAGTGCATCGCGAAGCAGGATGCGATCCTGAGAGTCCAGTGTTCCGTTTTCTGTTTTGGCAGCCGACATTCCGTCGAGGTACAGCAGTCGCAAGTCCTTTGCGGCCGTGTATGTATGGAGGTATCCGAGCTTATCTTGATCGTTCTCTTGGTCTTTTCCTGATTCCTTGGGTTCCCGCTGGAGCGGCAGTTGGGACCGCTTGTATGGGCCTTTGCCGGGAGGAGGGCCATGATGGGGTCTTGCGAAGACCATAGCATGCTCTGGCTCGAAGGCTAACCATTCCGTTCCGTTCACTGGGCCGGGGAAGGAATTGCCGTGGTACAGTTGCGTTCCTTTCGGCACGGTGGCCAGGAAAAAGGACATGCCATTGTGGTGCAACGATGACCCCCATTGGCGCATGGAGGAATGAATCGCATTGAAGATGTGATTGGCATTGGGTGGAAAGGTCAGCTCCGAGGCGATGATGCTAGGGACATGGAGGGCGAACAGCAGTACCAAGGCTCGCAGAAGAACCGCAGGGGTAGTAGGTCCGGCCATGGCTCATGTGTTTCTCTCTCTCTCCCTTCTTGAGCCTCTTGGAAAATCCAGATGACTTAGCTAAAACTGCTTTATTATAGTCCACCGGCTCGGAGCTATCGTCGCGCCAAGTGGGGGGGGATGACAACGACGGCCGCGTCACCCGTGAAACCAGACAGAATCCGAGTCGAAATCGTCGCTTCGGCTTATTGGTCGGGGTCCCGTCTGGACCTGAAGGCGAAAGTGGAAATCGGGCTGCCTAGAAAGATTGGATCTGCGTCTGCAGAGGCACCATTTCGGTCGTCAGGCCAGTTCGATCTTATCACACGTGTGGTCTCCACATTTTCTGATCCTTATCAGATCGAATGGCAACTGAACCCTAACCAAATCCAAAGATCCCCAACTACTACCCTCATCATTGATCCTCTGGATAAATACAACGGGGTAACCCAGAATAAAATATAATGACGATACCAGATATCATCCAATTACACACTCCTTAATCGCCAAGGGTCAATCTTACAGTCATCTGTATACCCGCGCTAATATAACCAAGTGTGTTCCACCATACACTGTTGCTGTAAACATTAGTGAGCAATTCAAGACATTCGGCAAGTCAAGTCGTGAGGGCTGACACTCAAGGTATTTCCAATGTAGGCTGTTTTCGGGCTACCTGATGCTGAACACTATACTATGTTGTGAGAACCCTGCTAGCATAACTCTGACGTGGACTATTGTAGTGGCTATATAGGCGGGGTTGGAGTTCAGGCATTGGCAAGAATTCCTTAGATTCCCCAGCCATTAATATATCCCTATCCACTGTACCGATTTATGTCTATTTTTACCGGGTTGAACTGAGTGTCAACCTTCAATCCCTCTGCCTCCCTCTCTCTCTTTGTGTGTGTGTGTGTGTGTGTTCTACATCAGCAATTCGGCCGCGACAAGGCCCCTCCATAGGTAATGCAGGCCAAGCTTGCCTTTCGTATACCACGCCACTGATTGTGAAGCCAAGCGAAGGGATTAATAGACATGTAGATTCGCATGTGCTTGAAAAGTAGCTGTGGCGTTCTTGCGGGAAAAAAGCTCCGTGGAAGGCTAAAGCCACCGACCTGTGGAGATATTAGTACCTTAGGGACATATCTCTAAGAGAAATCATTTGTTAGACTTATTTTTCTAGCCTCAGAGGATGGGCTACGCGGAACTGTACTGATTGGCTACTAAGACCTGGCATCATAACATGCATCATAACATGCATACTCTGTAGTTAGCACAAGGTGGGGGACATTGCACACTGCAAACTGTGAGGGGGTTAGCATGATATGATCAGGGGTCCTTTGTTTCTCTCATTTTCGTTTTTCCCTGACAAGATTTCGGTTGCCCACGTTGATCATATGCTTTTACCAGTGGTACCTTGCCCCGTACGATGGTTCACAAAGAATAGACTACGCAGTGGGGACGGATGAATCCTGTCCAGAGCTAAGCCAACAGGCTACCAACCCTGCATCGAGTGGATCGACGGCCAATAAGCGGGAGGGACCGACTATGTAACTGTTTATTCGTGTACAGACACTTTGGGGACCCTCACTGGGGTAAGTATCTAGGCTGTTCCAAAACATCTAGAACACATGTGTTGAGCTCAGATGACTTAACGCTGGCTCGATCATGATGCAGATTAAAGGAAATACTTCCCCCATAGCCGCACTAAAAGCCGGAGAAAGCTCCGTAAATGTGGGGGCAATATGCTGGATAACCAGTGGCATGCATGTATGGCATGCTTCTGCTAAAACTTGCATATTATCACAGTAACAAGGTGACGTACTTTCAGCTGAGCCCGGTGGAAGCAATCAATTATGGCACGCAATATTTCTGAATTGGTAGGCTCTCCGAGGCTGACTTGCATCCTGCATGTTCTTTTCCTCTATTTGATTCGATCATCTGAGTAAGGTGGACAAGCAATTGTTTCAACTAATCCTTGCTTAACCAGCTGTGGTCTTCCAGCCTCCAGATTCCCAAAATGAACTTGGACAGGGAACATCAGAGAGCACTGTTAGGGATTAGGTCCTGGGCAAAATGTGTATTTCCCCTATGAATCGTAGGATGCGTGGTAGACACCGTGTATAAATACCCCAGCTCAGACTGGCTTGAACAGATTGTCAACCTCTATCAACTCTTCATTCTGAAAGGCTATCATCTTGAACCAGAAAAGAACAAGACGCACTTTATCGATAAACCATTTCGCCTTCGGCTCCCCAAGGTATAGTGCCCTTCCTTTTGTTGGTTAGCTTAGTATCACTGACACCGGACCAGATGACAGGGCCAAGGCACCAACGTTACATAACCAAGGGTAACAACCTGGTCAACTCAGAGAAATCCACTCTATACTCTGACGCAGGAGACCAAGCCCTGTATAAAATTGTCGATACGCGCCTCCTCGGCTATGAGTGGGTGCTTATATGGTCTTACGAGAACACCAGCGACAATGACTACACCCAGAAAAACACAATTACTACCACGCTGAGAACCAAGACTGGAAAAGAGACTGCTGAGAATTTCAAAGTGAGCGCGGGATTCTCGGGCATGGGCGTTACAGCCACAGCAGAAGCTGGCGTAGAGCACAAGACATTCACCGAAGAGGAGACGACTTCGACGACTCAACGCGAACAGACGTACACCTTCAAGCCTCATTCTTCCGATTTTATATACCAGAAGGTGTATAATTTCCAAGTGGATGTATGGTTCAAACTGGATGCTTGGAACAAGCACTGGACGGTCGGCAACTGGCAGCGGGACGGAGTCGCACAAGTTTCGTCCGGTATTGCCATTTATGCCAATGAATTCGCACAGACAGGCGAGGCATTGGGCGGCAAAGCGGATTTAGTGCCGGAGACGGTGCAAAGTGCAGATGAAAAGACAAACATTCGGCGGTTCGAGGATTGCAGCAGCCGTGCCCAGTCGTATCTTCACGAAAGGGGAGTTTGACGCAGTTCAACCTTGGCCGGTGTGGACTAAGCTCTCGTAATGGTTTCAACAACTAAATTACTTTCGGCTTTGGTGTCTACTACTGTTCGGACTTCGAGTATGATCGGAATTCGCTTTGCTTTACTGGTTTCAACAATATGAGTCTATAAAATGCTATATAGTAAATTAGCAATCTACCTTTTCGAGTTGTGTGCACCGGCTTTCTGAGGTCAAGTTTTAATAAACAGTTGATAGTAGATCAATAGAATATGACTTGAGTTGAATCCAAGAATATAATAATTTCTTTGAAGATGACTCGGCAGGATCTCAGCCAGATAATCTAATCTAATCTACTTACTGGATATCGAAGCCGAACCCTAACCTACCTAAATGTGTCACCGCATCAAATCCCCCCGCGCTTCCCCCAGTTACACTGAGTTCAATGCTTGATAAAACTCATCAATAATCCAGACCCCTTAATCCCTCTCCTCATCCCATAATCTTACAAGGCAACAACTATGCCCCCCAAACCACGCACCCTCCTCCTCACACTGGACGCGTTCGAAACGCTCTTCCACCCGCGCCCCTCCGTACCGGAACAATACGCGTCGGCCGCGCACCGCTTCGGGCTGCCCCAAACGGCCATTACGGCCGAGCGCGTGCTCTCCGCCTTCAAGCCGGTGTTCAAAGCGCAGTCCCAAGCGCGCCCGAACTACGGCCGCGACGACGTCATCCGCGGCCACTACGGCGGACCCCGGCAATGGTGGGCGGAGATTATCCAGGGGACTTTTTCGCGGGTCCTGGCCGAACAGTCTAACAATAACACTACTACCAACAGTAACAGTGACAACAACAACAACAGTCAGGGTCAACTAGACCTCCCCGAGGGATTGGTCGGGTATTTACTTGATCGGTTCGCGAGTAAGGAAGGCTATGCGCTGTATGACGACGTGGAGCCCTTTTTCTCGCGCATTCGGGCGGTAAAAGAGCAGGGGGCGTTGTTGGGTCCGTTTGATCGCGTGTTGGTCGGGGTGGTTTCGAACTCCGATGATCGGGTTCCGGCAGTGTTGAAGTCGTTGGGGTTGCGCGTTGGGGATTGTCGGGCTGATGAGGGAGTGGATAGTATGCGGCTGTCTGGGTTTGAAGAAAGGTCTTCTTCTGGGGTCGAGGGCTCAGATACGAATGACGGCGTCAAGGATATCGATCTGGTTATTACGAGTTACGAGGCTGGGGTGGAGAAGCCGAGTCCCAGGATCTTTGAGGTGGCCATGAGGCAGGCGAAGGCTTTGGCTCGGGCTGATGTCCCTGGTGACTGGACTTGTGTTCATGTCGGGGATGATTGTGAGAAGGACTATAGAGCTGCCGTTGGGGCTGGTTGGGATGGGTATTTCCTTGCTCGTGGAGACGATGCGAGAAGTGGCGATGATGGCGACAATGTGATTCGGTCGCTCATGGATTTGATCCCTGTGCTGGAGGGTTATCATTGATTCGATCGTGTTGGGTACTCTGGTGTGTGATTGTATGGTAGAAGTCTCTCCACTCCATTGTTGCTAATTGTAAACTTATCGCACAGTATATAATAAATGGTTGTAGATTGCTTGGTGTTTCAGACATGTGGGAAGAAGTATTCAACGACCGTGGAATGCTGGACTACAAGACAAGAATCATTATGAAGATACGATATACCAACTGATATGCAAATCAATACCATGGACGCCCAGCCACCCTTCACCGGAAATATCTAGCTAAATTATTATTCATGACCGTGACGCGAAAACGTCCCATGCTCCAGAACACCTAATATCAAAAACAAATACTATATATATACAAGAAGTGCTCGCCGGATACCTTGGGTTAGTCCCATTGCCCAGTTCTGCCAAGAGCGCCGAGTCGGTTGCTAGCATGCTTGTTCACTAAAGCAGTGATATTGGTGCCGGTGTTACGGGTCTTGGCCCGAAGCTCCCGCTCACGTTCCTTTTCTCGGGCGGCGGTATAGTAGTTAACGGCACCCTTCTTTGCAACCGATGCACCAGACGCAGGCTTCGATACTCTTCGCGATGTGTCCGACTTGGAGGAACTGCTGGTGGAAGAAGAGCTGGTCGTAGTCCTTCGAAGTAAGGGTGGGCGGAACCCGATGGGATCGGGCCCAGAGCCAGTTTGGAAAGCAAATCGGGTGTTAGAGGAAGCAGACGTGGCCGAGTTAGATGATGCTTGTCGTAGCAGAGCAAGACGATCTACGACAGGACCCTTTGTCCGGCGTGGATGCCGCGGGGCAACAAATTCTTCCGTAGACTGGCTGTTGGACGGTTCTTCATCCGCTGCCTCACCGTCGATATCCTTATCCTGTTCTTCGTCGTCTTCAACGGTTGCATCTTCGTGGAAAGAGTCATATTCAGGCGTCTCGGTCAGGAAGGAAAGAGTTTCGCGGATCTCAGCAAGGTTAGTCGGCTTCTTAGACATGAGACTTGCCGGCTTGCGACGCATATGGGGCGGAGGTCGATTATTGATCTCTTCAGGTGAAGGCTCAAGAGGCCTCTTCCTCTTATTGCTATCGCTAGTTGTAGTCGTATCAGGTTGCGAGTCGGGAATCACGTCTTGAGACGATGATTCCGCTTGAAACTCAGGATTTTCCTCCGGTCCTAAGAAATCGAGGCCATCGTCGTCCATATCGCGATCTTCAACAGCCTTGAAGAACGCAGCTTTCTTAGGATTCTCGGCAATTTCACCAATCTTTTCGTCAGCCATCAGCGCCTTTCGCATCCGTGCAAATTCTCTCTGTTTCTCTCGCCGACGTGCAAGGAGCTCATCGTCAGAATCGTCCAAGTCGAACTCATCATCGCCCCTTCTGCGTCGTCTAAGAGCACCCGTTGTGATGTCTTTGAGAAGCTTGGCTACTTGTTTTTCATCTGCATTTCTCTGGTGGAGTCTGTGGAAAGGTCAGTCTATGTTCTCATCAATATTAATCAAGAATGTCATCACATACGCATTGAGAGCGGCCAATTGTTTCTCGTCGGCAGTTTCTCCGCTATTGTCGTCAATCATCTGTCGATCATATGCATTCTCCACATCGTCATCCTCGTCGCTGGCGCCACCAAGACCAGCATATTCGTCGTCTGATTCCTCCGCAGCTTCTTCGACCACATCCTTCGCCTTGCTGTTGTTTTTATCAAATGGGACAGTAGACCTTTTCTTGACCGCCTTCTTCATAACGTTGAACGCGCTGGCATCAATCTCAAAATCGCCTTCACTCTGCTCTTCAATGGCAGATAGCCCGGTTGTCCGTCCCCGGTGCAGATGCTTAGCCTTCCGTTCAACAGTAGGGGAGTTGTTCCGGGATTCGTTCCGGTCAATGAGAACAGTCTCTACTGTGGACGTTGGGGTACTCATGAATCGTTTCGAAGGATCAAATGGCGATAGCACAAACCCAGCATCCTGTGTTGGGTCCGGGATCTGAGAGAACTGGGACATCCCTCGTGGGGCAGGGGATTCAGAAACTCGAATCTCAGACTGTGCATATCCCGCCAATATATCGGTAGGTTCAAGCCGTTGTTCCTGGCTATCCTTGATGATCATCTGTGAATCGGATTCTCGTCGACCATCGACTGGATCAGGCAGTGAATGAGGAAGTGTAGATCCCGCCTGGCTGTCCGGCTGATTATCGCCCAAAGTTCCCGCGAATGCCTGGGTTAAGCTCATAGTCATGTCATCAGAAGGCAAACCGGGAATATGTGGTCGCTCCACAGATTGTACTGCAGTTGGCCTAGTCATCTTTGCTGGCGTCTTAGGTACGGGAGGCTCGTCCTCGTCGTCGCTAATGACTCGAGTAGGCCGTTTCCGTCTCTGCGTTGGCAAACTGGTCTCGTCGGATGACATGACTTCGGGATGATCATCATCAGATTCTTCGTCTTCACCAGCTTCGGCGTCGAATAGGCCGCCTTCCTTTTCGCCGTCTTTATCACCTTCCTCTTCATCATCATCATCTTCTTCTTCTTCTCCGTCCTCGTCAGCCTCGTCGGCATCCTCCTCAGACCCAGAGAATTCGTAGTCATCATCCTCATCATCTCCCACTTCACCTTTAGCTGCTGCCTTCTCTTGCTTTGCGATTTCCTCAGCTTCCTTCCGGGCTTTCTCGACAAGGTTCTCTAATTCATCTTCCAGGGCAGCCCGCTCGTCGGCCGTTTCAATGATGACACCCTTGGCCCTCAGCTCTTCGATTCTCTCCATCCTCTCCTTGCTTGCCTGTTGCCTCGCTTGATGCAATAGATGTGCGGATAATTCGGCATAGTTCATGCTTGACTTCTTTGGAGGGGATGTGAGTTGAGCCAGGGCCTTTAGTTTCAGCATAGCAGCTGATTCCTGGCGTCTTCTCATAGTAAGGTTTTCGAATGCCGCATATCGTCGGCACCTCCCGGGAGATGTAACAATTTCCAAATCACTGTCGGAGTCGTCTTTTTGGTTCCGAGCTACCTGCTCGCGAGAAAGGCGTACACGAACAGGGGGCATTGTTAGAACCTTCTTTTGCTTCTTTTTCTCAGCGACTTGAGGTTTCTTATCCGCCGCTTGTTCTTCCACGCGACTAACAATGGGTTGTTCTGATTGCTGCGGCCCTTTGGCAACCATTTCCTCCAATGTTGGCAATTCGGTTGAGGCTTCCTTGGACGCATCGTTAGCCTCACTGCCAGTTGAAGGCTTCTCAGATGGACCTAGAATTGGTGAAGTATGCGGCGTTTCCTTATTCTTCTGAGCTTCAGCATCCGACGAATTCTGCGAATCAGCGGTATTTGACGAGTTATCCGGCGCAGACCCCGGGGCATTTTGCTGATCAGGCTGCATAAAGTTAAACCGAGCAAAGAAGCTTTCCTTGCTGATCTTCTTCTTGGTTTGAGCCTGATGGACCAATTGCATACTTCTGCTGATTCGTTGGGTTTCCCTGTTCATCTCTTCCAGAGCTTTCTTACTGGCCTGTCGCGCAGGTCGCGCAGGTTGTGATAATTTTCGCCCCGATTCATTATCTCCTTCAC